TGCTCATGTAGGCAGTGCGTTTGCGACTCCAGAAATTTCGTCTTCGAGCTCATTTTAAAAGTGGCAAGATCACCAAATCCGCTAAAAACTTGTATATAGGGGTAATTCAACATCCTGATCACGAATATGACATTCATTTTTGGCGCTGGCGCTAATGGATGACACTACGGTTACCTGCGCTCTGCTAAGGCTGAGCCCAGGAGGTAATCGTAGTGTCCTCTCTTGGCGCCAGCGCCAAGAATGAGTGTCATACTCGTAATCAGGATGTTGAATTACCCCTATATACAAGTTTTTAGCGGATTTGTGATCTTGCCACTTTTAAAATGAGCTCGAAGACGAAATTTCTGGAGTCCAAACGGCATTAGCCCATTCATGTATGACGCGGCCTTACACAGTGCTGGAGTTGGGCCGCATTCCGTCATGACAACTTTTAGCGACTGGAATCTCTTGCTTTGCAAAACTTGCGCTCAGAAGAAAGTATACATATCGATCTGAATAGCCGTGGAATCGGGAGAAATGCAAAATCTGCAGAAAAGTTGAAGACTCACAAAGTCTTGTGATAAGGGTTTGCGTCGACCTGCCCCCGTCCCTGTCCTGAGATATGCCGTCTGAGGAGTAGTGGCATTAGTGCAGATTCTGCTTCTCCCCGATTCCGCGATTCTCCAAGTCGATACATACTAAGTTCTGTCCGCAGTTCTGTCACCATGTCATAGAATTTCGGCGCTGTTCGCCTTGAGGGACAGGTGGTGAAGGGCATTTCACACTTTCGCTATTTTCCATTGTCGTGTCGAGCCATCAATTAGAAATCTATGAAGCCATGTAGTGATACAGAGTCAGTGTTTGTGAAAACCACTTAGCAATCAGTTCGACAGCGGGAAGTAGCGGAAGTGCAAAATGCCCCCTCCATCCCCCCCCCAAGCCGAGTTGTGCCTAGTCGTCATGTATAAATGCGTCCCTAGACCATGGGTGCTTTGGGAGAGATCTTCCCGTGATGTCGCCTCATTACAAGTCGAATGAATTCTTGTCAGCTTTAGAAAGTGTCATAGAATTTACTATCATATGTTTCCTTTTTCATCGCTATTTAAAAACCCAAAAAAATCATTCTCGGCGGTGTTTTATAAAGTGGGCTGATAGTGGCTTACCATCGCCGGAGGTACTTTTTTTCCTAGTTCTATACAAAATCTACGCTAGCTGGCTCGGCAGGGGCAAGCTGTGATTCTATCAACGCCTAGTGCCCCCGTGTCCACCCAAGCCGCCCCCTCCCTCCGTCTTCAAAAGTGCAAAACATAATAGGGCTGACCCAAGGTTGCAAGGAAATCTCACCGAGGCACATATTCCTCAGATATCTCGTCTCGTTTACTCACAAACTTTCGTTCGTTTTTTCTGCTAAATTTCGCGAATTCGTACCGTTACCGTAGGTATACGAGCTTTTGCACCAAAATCCCCACCGATGTTGGAACGTCTCAGGATGCTTGCCAACGGCGGAGTGTCCCTCCTCCTTCCTCTTTTCTCCCTCCTTTATTTCCTTCCCTTATCTTTCCCCTCTTCCTTTTCCTTTTCCCTCAATAGCTGGCGAGTGGTCTCCCAAACCACGTTAGCTCCAAAAATTGTCTACAGATCTCTGAGGTGAAATCGGAGGGTTACGAGGTACATCGCAGCTACAAATGTATCAAGACTGCGAAAATTCCATTTTCTACTCTCAACTGCATTACCCTCAGGTTTTTTCGCCATCTATCTTCTGTTTTGGATCACCAGGTCTAGCTTGAAGGGCTATTTCCCTGCAGGAGGCGCTAGTTGCCATCGCTCTGAAGCCTCTCACCCATTTATCTATAACGTTTCTTTGGATTTTCCGATGAGAAACCTCCAATTTCTCTCCCTTTCTCTGCGAACATAAACTAATTATTCCTCCTGACTCTTTTTATCATTCTGGTGTTCCAATTTCAACATCTGGGACTGCTTAAGTTCTTTGAACAAATCGCCGCTAACGTGTTCGAGCCTCTCCAGGCCGGAAGCGTTGCCCGTGACAACGAGAAGACCAGAATGAGGCGTTATCACCTTCAGCTCGCTATCCGGACTGGAGAGGTTTGTCTGCTTGGTGGCCACACAAGGAGAAAGGAGAAAGCTTTTCAAGCTTCCTTCCTGTGTGGCCACTAAGCAGACAAATGTTCTCCCGAACACCACGGAATAAGCTCGCGTGATGACTGCAATCATCGAATCTGACCGTCTTTTTGGAAATGACTGTCAACTCTTTAACTTCACATCACAGTCGTGAGCGGGAAGCCATACGTCATTACCGGCGAGCCCTGGAAGGCTTACGGTATTTGCGTCAGCCAGAAGCAGCTGCATAAACGTCGTCTCAGGGCACTTGTCAACCGGTAAGCCTCTCCCTCTCTTTCCTTTTTTCTTCCTCCTTCCTTCTTTTCCTTCCTTCCTTCTACCCCTCCTCCTTTACCTTCTCCCTTCAACTACTGGACTGGTAGATGCCTCGTGAAAATACCCCTGGACCCTCACAGCGAGAGCAACACATAAACGTCTGCAATTTCGCAACCCATGAGCCCTGGAAACTGCGCTACAAGACCGCAGAGGCGCTGTCGCTTGAACTGCGTCAAATCTTTTCTTGCCTGAAGTTTGGGGTTTCTTTACGTTCTCCAAATCCCTGCACGGGGTAAGCAAACAAATTTCTAGATTCGGAACCAAGAGGTAATAAGATTTTTTTTCTTTTCATCACTCGAAACGGCGAGAAAGAAGCTAGGAACGCGCGATTATTGCAATTGCAACCACGATTACTTTCACTCTGCAAGACAACGGCTTACAAGCGGAATTGCGTGTGTACATAGCGTTGCCTGGAGCGTCGTAGGGTGATTTCCTGTGCTCTTGCCGGAATTGGTTGCACGTCGAATCCTGCTGATTGGGCTTGCCGACGTCCGACAAACTCGTCCAAGGCGCCGCTATGGGAGTCTCTGTCCAGAGTGCCTCCAAGATTTTTTTTGCTTCTTTTTTTACCGGAGAGTTTTTATGGGCTTATGGTTCATGACTGAGCACACATGATCGCGGAAGTTGTCTTCAAGGCAGAGCTCCACGATTTCGAAGATCTCTGGTGTGAAAAAAGCTCGCGGGTAGGCTATAGTGTTTCTGTAAGACTGGGGCTAAGCACCATTAAGTGTTCACTTTCTCGAGATCACACCATTCAATTCGTCTGCGTGAAAAACTCGTCCGCAATCAGCGCTCAGCGCTGGACATCCGGGACTAATTATGGGGTCGCGTGCCGGACGTGTGACAGACACATCTAGCATGAAATCGCATGATATGGGAGTTAGCGATTCTGCTGAGCATGCGATCTTCTCCATTTGAGTGCTTCCCTTTTGTTCCTAGAATTTCGCAGTCGAACGCATTCCAAAGGCAGACCCGCAACTCGTTGTCGTCCTTCCTGCTCAGGATATCTGTCAACCGCGAAGCCTCCCTCCTCCTTTTTTCTTGCTCCTTCCTGCTTTTACTTCCCAACTTCCCTTTTCTATCTTAGGCAGGGATAGCCGAGTGGTTAAGACTGTAGTCTCATAATCTCGCACTGAGACACGAGTTCAATCCCTGCCGAGGCACAAACCAAACCACATTCGCGACTCCACCGTGAGTGAAGTTCTAGTTCTGACACCCGCACAGTTGAGCAGCCTACCTACGATCGTCCGTCCCCTTTACATTTCGACGGAGCGGCGCTCACTGTTGTTTGATGTAACGGCGGACATCAATCCCTATTGCGTGTCGTTTTGTTTTTTGACCGTACTCGTGCTCAAAAGTAAATCTGTTTCTTTTATTCTGTTTTTCTGAGAGCGAATATGTACAGTAGGAAACAATCTATCTCGCAGGTAAGACGGGCCAAATAATGACTTGGGATCTCAGGATATCTCTCGACGCGGAGTCTTCCTTCTCCTTCCCTCCTTCCCTTTCCTTCTTTTTCCTCCTTTCTTCCCTCAGTGTGATGAGAAAACATCATCGGACCCTCGCAGCGAGAAAGTGTTCGGTTGACAGATGCCTTGTAGGGTCTGCTGTCTTGCAGGAAGTGTCGTCCGGATGGTGTTTCACAATCCCAGTTTTTGCACAAAGGTCAGGCGACGGTCACAGGTGTGTCAAGCCCGAAAGGCTTCCTGCTCTTTCCTTTTTTCTTCCGCGCTTGTTGTCCTTCTTTCTTCGTCTTGAGTTCGTCTCCTGTACCTCTCTCCCTTACAACTACTGACTGGTAGATGCGCTCATGAAAAATACCCATAGGACCCTCGCAGCGAGAGGCACGTCTGGTTGTGTTGAATAGTGCAGAGCTCCAGACGCGAAGAATCTAGCAGTGAGCCAGAGGCGGCAGTATATCGCTCTTGTCACAAAACGGGCTGGTTCTGAAAACTCGTCCAGTGACTCTCGAAATCTTTACTTGGGGTGTTCTTGACATTTTTTGCTGCTGGAAAGTGCGCTTAACGACTCATAGGTTCGTTACATGAAGTACCCCTAATCCCGCATTAATGGCAATCGCGGGTTTATCTTCAAGCGAGGCATGATTTTTTTTATTTTTTTATTTTTTAAGCGTGCAATACTTACACTGCGGCGAAGGATTGCGTGCTTATGTTCAGGGCAAAACATGACGCAACGGTTCAATTTTGCAGTCAAGAAATTGGAACCGAAAAAGGTTTAGATACATATCGATCTGTTTCCATTATTCTTCAGTTCTGCAATTTTTCAGATCGATATACATCTAACTCTTTTCATCCATTCTTCATTTCTACAATTCATCTCTTTTTCTCTGTCGCAAGGCATGGACGCCGTCTAATTTTTGACTCGTTTTATTATGTGTATGTCTTTTATGCCATCACTACAAGGTTGTTCTAAGCCTGCATACCGCTGTATAAAATTCGCTGTAAGAACAGATTTATTTCGTACCGGTGGCGCTGTAGTGGTTTAACTATGAGCTGTCTTTCAGACGGGTACAGTAGAAGGCTTCGAATGGTTCCGGCTCTTCAATAATGACTGCGAAAGAGCCGGCTAAAGCGCGTCGACAAGATGTGTGGCGCGCTAATCACACATGCATGGTGAGTCGGATTGAAATGTCGTGCTTATGTCTTCTGTATTTTCTTCACTTTGTTTGAATTTCGGTTCTCTCAATTTGCTTATCCTTTTGGAATGGTCTAAAGTCTAGTTCGCTGGGATTGATGAGGCGTGTCAGGCAGTATAAGTGCCAGGCCTCAAACCTGTTCTTTGCCCAGTTGCTGAAGCGGGCACTGGTAGAAAACGAGTGATACAAACGATGTGACGGAGGCTTGTCACTTGCCCATTCCAGTAGGCGAACGAGTTTGGAACCGCGCCAGACGTCCCAAGTGAACGCCCCTTTGTTCGCAGCGAAGCAAGACTAAATGTTTTTTTCGGGCTGTAAACTAGTTGTTGTACATGCTTATTTTTGTATGACAACAGTCAATCGGCATGTAATAATTGTATGCATAATTTGTTGGAAAAGTAATCAAAGAATTTGGATTTGATCAGACGTTGAATTGAGAGAATTCCGTTTTGAAAAGACTTTGTGTCACTATCAAAAACGGCTGATTCCCCCCCGCCCCCCCCTGAGTGAGTAGCTCCGCTCTTTCTTTCCACTTGTTCTAAATTTATAATCATCTGCTCTTCACATGAGAATTGCTTCACTAGCATGCAACTTTTTTCATTGGTGTGTGCTTTTTGATTATCGTTGGGACATTGAACGAGTCCAGCAGCGTGGATTCTTGGTGATCTCCCCTACTAGACTTTTGCTCGCAATATTTTCACTATTTCACACGCAAATTGTAACATTTTCGAAAGGATGAACAGAATCGGGGTTCAGGGCCAAATGCAGAAACTTTAGCAGTGAACACCAAATTTTCATTCCGATGAAATTTGAGAAATTTCCTGAGGAGGCAACAGTCCATGAATTCTGATGGTTTACTTTAAGAATAAAATTGTTCTTTGTTCACTTGCATTTCTGTCTTGAAATGGGAAGCTCCCAATTTCGTATCCTTCCCACTAAACTGTTAGTATGGTTATAAGCTATTGATGCTATACTTCGAATAATAGAATTCTGCAGTATATCGGACTACAGGGAGATGGCACACCGTCTCACGGTAGCTTTATTGACTTTCACGGTTTAGTTGGTGAACGATGTCCAACATTTCGTAGGAATGATGTCTGTCGTTTTCTTTTGATATTTCACAGGTAGCAAAATTTTATGGCAATATGCCAAGACTGCAAAAACACGTAAAAGAAAAGGACCAAACACGAAGAACAAAGCAAATAGCACAGGAAAGGTATGTGCGCTCCATTGTAGTATCACACTGTTTCGAACCCTCATCAGGATCTTGATGTGAAAACAGGAAGAGGCACCGAAAGGTTCCATTGCGAAATACTCCAAGGGTCGAATAAATCCAGCATATTTTGCCAAAATCATTTCTTTCTGTGAAAATTCAGTGCTCAGCACTCTTCAGCCCATTTGCCTGCTGTTCGCATGGACAGAGAAGCTTTGTGAAGCAGGCGCTTCTTCCGGAAGTATTGACAGTACTTGGTTTTTTGGAGTATTTTGGCAACGAGAACATGTAGGGCTCGCATTAGTTACCGTTATTTAATCATAATGGTTTAGCGTCCATCGATTCTCAGTGGATGCTATTGTCATTTATCATTTACTATTTGTCAAGGTTTTTTTGAGGCCGTGAAGTGAAGATGCTTCTTTCAGAAGCTGCTAATATACGATTTCTTTGCTAAAGAAGTGCCAACATTCCAACCGTTCAGTGGATCATCTGTACTTGTGAAGCGACATGTTGCTTGCGGAGAGCGATATGTTGGTAAGATTAATGCTGTTGCCGTTTACTTTATGGGTTTTTGAGGAATAGCGAGTAGTTTCGAAGGTCTCAAGAACTCACAGTTCTTGGTAAGGAGGGTAGTGACGTCAAATGGCGCCAGCGTCAAAAATGAGTGAAATATTCGTGATGAAGATATCAATTAGCCTGATCTTGTGGTGGTGGCAAATAGGCGCTTATTTGCGCCAGGCGCAAAGTAATTTCATACTCTAAATCATTCATATTCGTGGTCGGGGTTTCAAATTACCCCTATATCAAAATCTCAGCAAGAAAAATTTTGAGTTTTCGGGGTAGGAACGGTTCACAAGTGCCAAAAATATTCATTTTCAGGTCTGGAATGCTTACATGAGTTTCATTTCTCATTCGCTACTGAGCCGTGGTGGGCATGCTCGATCTGTTACGAATCAGGTGCTCTCATGGAACAGGCAGATATGCACCTTGCCTCATTGAGCCACATTACCACATATTTAGTACGTTATGGTTTCCGTCCTTTCATCCCATTGTCCTTTTGTTTTCCTAATTTTGAATGCAATTTTTAGGACGAATTCCATTCTCACAAGATGTCGAAACTGAAGTTGAAAGACGAGCCACTGAAGGTGTTTGAAGAAGTGAAGCGGATATGTGATGAAATTTTCGAGGAAGAAGGTTCGCTATTTTTTGGCTGGCTAGAAAGCAGGGAAATTGCTCACCTCTTCATTTAAAAACTGAAAATTACTATCTAAGGAGTGGAATATACACCACCGGAATGCATAGCGATGGATGCAAGTATAACGAAGGGGACAGCGATGGCAAAACTTGCTGTGGATACCAATCGTTGTAGACCTTCTTATACACTCCATACGGATTGTACTTCGGGATCAAAGGAGCCACGCAAAATATTGCAATGTTTGGTAGGCTTGATGATTCATTTATGACGTCATTCTCAATTAGGCTCGAAATGGATAGTAGTACTATGAGGCCGCAGTCATTTATATTAT